ATATCTTTGTAGCGGGGCTGCTGTAGCTTCTTACCTAGAGAAAGCTAGGCAAAGATCACCGACCTTACGTTCTCTCCAAGAACCAGTACAAGTGCAGCTGATCGCAATACGCTGCCTTAAAGAGTACTTAAATCTTGACCAAGGTGAAGGGACTCTTCCGTTCAAAATTGAAACTGTATGCATTTTTTTTAGTTGCGGCAGAGCCACCAATATCTCAAACCCTATTTTCCTTTTATTAGTTATACCTAATGAATGTAGTAAAACATCATTTATATAGTAATATGCACTATTACTGGCAATCCTGCCACGTGGTGGCTTTTTGTTACGGTGTAGCCACACCACTGTGTGATTACACCAACTTGTCCAATCCACACCTATGTACAGTCACACTATCTTGTGCGACCCGCCCTTTCATACAAAAGTACGTGTAACTCCGTTACACTCTACCCCATTCAAATTGCGAATGACCTCATCTCACCGTGGCTTGCGTTTCTGAGCCCGTCGACAGTGTCCGGCACTGCCGCAAGATGAGCCATCTTGTTCAAACGGTCCACAAAGACCAGAACACCCGTATTGTCCGCCAATTCCTTCGGCAGGTTAAATACAAAGTCCAAACTCATGGACTGCCAAAACCGGAGGGTACCGGTAAACTGACCAGCGGCGCAGCCGCATTCGGAGACGGTTTTACCCTCTGACACGTATCACACGTGCGCACGATGTGTCCGCCTTTTGTACAGCTTGGACCACCAATAGTAGCCGCTTATCGCGCTGTACTTCTTTTCACGACCGAGATTACCACTGAGTGGGGTGTCGTGGGCTCATAGAGAATACGGCATTTCAAATCCTCATCATGAGGAACCACAACTTGCGCAACCCGTATTTCAACAAATACTGGTGTAACCGTGTGCGCAAACGCGCCGAAAATTTCCTGTCCGAGTTCCCAAACTTCTTGCTTTCGAGAGCCTGTAACAGCGCTACATATGCTGCCACCCGCGTATGCGGCGTAGTAAAAATCGTCACTGACGACGTCACCGTCATGACATGAGCAAGCTCATTGTTCGGTCTGCGTGACAAGCATCAGCCAAAGCATTCTGTTTTCCTGGCTTATACTCGACGTCGAAGTTATATTCTTCGAAGAGTGAGAGCACCTAGCCATCCTCTGCGAGAGTTGAGGCGACTGAGTCGCAGTGCGTAATGCCGCATGATCTGTGTAGAAAACAAACGGCTTATACACGCAGATGCTCCCTGAACTTGACAATTGCATACTTCACCGCAAGTAATTCCCGGGCGAGTACTGGGTAGTTCACTCCGCAGCTTATGCTGGCAAGATTCGAAGAACGCGATCACCCGCGCCCCTCGGCGTCTGCTTGCAGCAGTGCACAGCCTATTGCAAAGTCCGAATCGTCACAGACGACACTAAAAAAACGATTGGGGTCTGGCAACGCCAGTATTGGTGCATGTAGGAAGCTGATTCTGACCCTGTCAAAGGCTCCCGATGCTCGGTGTCCCAACACAAGTTCTTTTCCTTCTTAAGTATATGACAATGGTTGTGCCATTGTCGCATAATTTGCGCTATACTTGTGCAAGTAGTTGGCGAGGCCAAGCCACTTGCGCAATTCCTTTTAGTTATTTAGAACCGGTCAGTCCACAAACGCCTTGACCTTAGCGGGATCCGCTCGAAGGCCACGCTTCCCAATGAAGCACCTTAAGAAGGGTATTTCTTCCGCGACGAAGATGCGCTTATCGGCATTTGCATCCAGCTAATTCGTGCGCTTGCACTTGAGCACCGCTCTCAAATGGACGATGTGGTTTTCACATCTGTCCTCCCGTGCACTGCACGAATGTGGACGAAGATATCGTCCAAGAATGTCTGTGCTTTCGTCCAGTGGCGCCTGAACAATTGCATCACAGGACGTTTAAATGTTGCTGGTGCATTTGACAGCCTTTGGGGTATCATCAGCCACTCCCAGAGCATACCGCTCGGAGTACTCACCGCTGCCAGCGTAATATCACTCGCTCTCATGAGCAATTGGTAAAAACCATCGGCCAAGTCGAGTGCGCTGTACTGTGAACAGCCAACAATATTGCTCTGGAGAACATCCTTTCTAGGAATCGGCGTCTGTTCCGGAATGGTGGCAGCGTTTAGCGTATTATAAGCGTGAAAGAAACACCACTTGCTGTTCGGCTTTGGGACACAAAACGTGGGTGTAGAATGAGTTACTTCTACGCACCATTCCTGCGTCGTGCTTCGCACGGAAAAGGCGTCAATGACGCCGCACTGCTCCTTGGCAGGGGTCATTGGCGTGTTACGCAGTATTGGTTCCCGGAATCAGGTCAATCTCATGACGCACATCTCGGTCCGGAGGTAGAACCGACGGCGGGTCTTTTGAGACGACGTCTTGCTTTTCCTTTACTTAAGGATACTATGGATCCGAGCGACCCTTCAGATCGACGACCCACTACGTGCTTTTAACACCCTCTTACTGTCCTCCAGAATAGCTTTTCTAGAAGCGAGACCGAGTTAATCTCCTTGTTCGGCCTTAAAATGACCACCTCGGCTAAACTGCCTGCCTTCAAGGCACCGCCAAACAGGTAGTGAGTCGGATTCGTCAGGAGAGAAGATTGTGGCATCTAGCCAATCCGACCTTTGGCTGATCCATGGCTCGTGGCGTTTTATTCACTCATACCTAGGATGATTATGTAACTCAAATTTTAGTCCAGGACCAAATAATGTTTAGAGCTGTCAAAGCTCTCAAATTTCGCTTGAAGGTTCGACAAAACCCTACCAGTGTCCTACCGCAACATGTGTGAATATTGCATCGCTGTTTGGAACCTCAATGCCTTCGCATACTGTCTTTTGTTTTGGACAGTCGTGTTTCGTACGGAACTGCACAACGCCCCTGGACGTTTCAGACTTTCCACGGCTTCTCAAAGTCCGGTTCGTTGATAGCAACAATGAAAAGTTTGCGCAGTGAGCTTCACCTCACTTCGAGAGAGTTACCGGGCGTTATCGTGAGTTCTGCTGTGAAGTGTCTTGATGTCTTTATTTCTTTCGCCGTTAGGAATAGGCCAGAGTGCGCATTTTGCGCAAAGGAGATATGAAAGCAAAGTATGAAGGTCGAGGCAGCGACATTACTATGTCCCTCAGTGTTGGTATGTGATGGGCAGGGGCTCGAAAGGCAAGGTACTATGACCGTTCCTATCTGAGAACATCGTGGGTGCCTCAACGAGTATTCGTTGAAGGATCGCGATGACGGAAGACTCGCACGTCTCAGTGTATTGTTGAGTTATCTGGGCACGTTAGGAGACGGTTTTTGATACGGATTACGCCCGTAAGAGCAGGTATTAGGCGCAATAGTAAAAGCAGAATTTAAAGCACATTGTATGGTTCTCGAACGGTCACATTTGCCTCGGGATGTCATCAAATGGCAAATTAAATGCCAATCCAATGTGATATGGCGTAGGCTTTACGAAGAAATTAATGCAAAATTACATGCACCGGTAGGTATCACTGGTATCAAAAAAATTGATAAGGTTCGTCAGTGTGATACATACCTCACTTGCTAAGGATGAACTGCTCTACCAAAATGCGTTGCGAAAGTCTCATGCTTATCTTGATTTTCTCGACAGGTTTAAGAATTCAAACTGGTCTGATTGAAGGCATGTCTTCATTAAATATTGCATCAATTTCTAGCAAAGAGTGATATTGCGATGAATGACAACGCAATATGATTTCTCGCGCACTTCTGTTTACAATTAAACTAAAAAACATCAGGACAGTTTGTCATGACATTAATCCAAACAAAATACCAGAATACGAAAATGTTTGTTATGGATATAACGAGCTTTTCGGTATTGCGAAGATGGGACAGTATGTTTCATACAGAGCAACATAGCGCATGGGTCTCATGACGAGAAAATCCATATAATTTCAGGGTCAATTGTGGGCAGCACAAGTTATGATAGCACAATGCCTTGCGTGGTCCAATTACGTTGTGCCGAGGTCAACAAAGCGATGAATTCTAGCAGCACGTTAAGTCTTTAACGTTTGAGCTAGGCTTCGATGCTGGGGACAGATAGAACACCATCGGAACGAGATATAATTCCTTGGAGATTCAGTGGATGTGTCTTGCGTTGCATTCGTAGCGACGTGCGAGCACAAAGCGGCTTAGTGTGGAATGCTATTATCTTACGACACGATGCAGAATTAGATCATGCACCGTGTAATACCAAAGAGTCATAGTCAGTGCGATCGACAGACGTTCTCTGAAAATTCGAGCGCGACGGAGTTATAATTAGAATCTTTCATGAAAACACCGGTCGAAGAATTTCACGGTGGCGCCTTCGACCATATCTTGACCGAATAGAAACTTGACTATCTTTTCACGCAAAACGTTTAGACGCCAGGGATGTTGGCGGGTTGTTTTTTTATTTAAAGGTATAGAATCACATCTGCTAAGATTAAGCTTTTCTCCAGAACCATCACAATACGGCTAGACTAGGTCAAGCTGTGCCTATATACCGAACAGAAGGCTGGAGAGCATCGTTGAGTCTGGATGAAGATGTATCTGTCGGTTATGCAAACACCGTGCTCTTCATGTCGTCGAAGCAGATTCCGCAGCGGTTCGATGACCATAAGGAATAGTAGCGCTGAAAGCGGTCACCTTATTTAACCCTTCATGCGGGAGTAAGTGGCAGTTGATTACGGCCTTTGAGCAAGAAGTGTGCCTGTGGATTGGCGGAGAATCTTTACTCAGTCACAGCCCATGCGGTCGAGCACCTGGAACATATTGCCCCAGCTGACCCGGTTGTATGCCTTTTCGAAATCGAAAACATTGCATAGGCTTCCTCTGTGCGAACAGTAATAAGGTCCCGCAGATCGGCCGTGAAGCGCACGTGAAGATGTATAGACTGAGCGTTGAAGAATGCTATCTGACCATCTTAAATAAGCTGAGAAACTAAGATCTGACGGTGGTAGGTCAGCGCCTTGAACAAAGCCTTTACATCGACAGCAATAAGTGCGATTGGTCGAAAAATACTAGCGTCATCTCTGGAGCCTTTCTTGTGTAATATGCACGCAGCTGACTTGCGCTAGGAAGAGAGGAGTTCACCGCGGGACAACTGAATGTTAAAAGCTGTACTCAGTTATTATCCAAAGTTATAAGCCGCGAACTGGCAGAGGCCAGCTGTGATGCCTACCATTCCGGGCGCAGAGTCGGCTTTCATGTGATTGAGCGCGTCGGTTAGTTTAGCTCCAGAAATCGTGGCTTTTTGCAAAGCTTGATCTTCTTTTGTAAGACGCTTGCCAATCGTGTCCAGCAGCTCTCGTTGACTTTCAGGGTGGTGGTCCGGTACGACCGCCAGTATTACCTATTGAAGCCCTCAATGGGCGTTGTAGCTTGCTGAAATAGAAGCTGGTTTTCACGAGATATTCCCTTTTGGGGTTCGAACATCTTCAATGCTTACCCGTCGGAGTGATGGGTCGAGCGGACGAAAAAAAATCCTGGAAGATTTCTAGCTTGGAAGTCAAAAGCCGAGTCTTGAATATAGCAACGAGCCTGGGACATACAGCCGCGGTACGTATTCATACCAGCATGAAAGGCTTTTAGAAGGATTGCCTTTCGTTCGATGCGGTATCTTGTTGCAGCGTCATTATAGTTTCGTAGCTTACGTTGTACTGCTTGGATCTGTCTCCTCATGGACTTTTTTTTTTCGCTGTTCCCAAACTTTGCCGGGTTTTGATGCAGCATTGAGTTTCTGAGAACTTGCTGGCCTTCGCCAAGAAGGACATCCACAACATTGAAGTGATGTAGGGGGTTCATCGGGAAACGCCAGTAGCCGTATCCGTGAGGCTGATACATGGGGCAAAGGGTCATTGTATGTGCTAAGTAATTATCGGCGCCCTTGGGCACAAAATAGTGGGAGTTTTCTTGCAGCGCGTTGTAAAAGCGACAACAAAAGATAGTCAAGTCGATTTGGCGCGGTTGAAGGCCACTGCAACTGCGTTCAGCTTGGTGATGGATGCACCAGGCATCAACAACACCCAGTTGATCTTTTCACTTCATTCAGGCACCGCGCCCTGGGTCAGCAAGTAAGCGTGGCTTGGAAGGGTCAATATGAACGTTAAGGACTTATTTAAGTCACTAAGGACGATGTGTGTTGCACTGTCGTCAGAGCGATCCACTGGAAGATGTTTGAAGAAAACGGCTTTGTTGGAATACCACTGGCGAGTATACGTTGTGAATATACACGGGAGTATTGGCAACTACCAGTTACACGACCAATAATGGCGACCGACACAGGCAGTTCCCAAAACTCCCTTACTTTATTGAGACCCAGAGGTTACACCTCCAGATCGGAGTGCTGTCTGCGAAGCACTGACCACGCCAGGTTCACTGATGAATAGCTTGTGTTTGAAGCGGGGAAAGTAGCAAGATAGTGGCAATCGTTTCTTGGATGCAAGAAAGACCATATTTTGCTAGTAAGTGATCGATGGGTAAATGCTCATTTTTTATGATCTCGTTAGTGTTGACGGTTAGCAAGCCGACGTTTTGCCATTACACCTCGGGTGCATCTATGCGTAAGATCACCTTAGTAGTTCAGCGCAAGCATTTTGGCCGTAAGCAATAATTGAACTTTGGCTCGAAATACACCGTCTCGTGTCTAAGGCACCTTGGTGCCACCATAGTTGGCTCATTTGCGGGCAACAAGCTTGGTATCTGTTAGATCGGTCGCACCAAAATGCTATTGATCTTGCGAAGCTAAGTTCGGGGCTCAACTCACACATCTGACGCAAAAGCACAGTGTTTAAAGCCATTGGCGACTTGACGGAACTCATAAACTTCAGCGTGTCAGGGTTGTTCATCGCGCGAAGTGCCTTCTGAAGACTATTCACCATGGCATCGGCAGCAGCCAAGCGATCCGGTAGCAGTTGGAGGTTTGCCATCTCTTTGGTAGCCTCCATCTCACTGACTATCTCTTGAGTCGTCTTAGTCTTTATTTCATTGGTGTGGTGCTTCATAAGAAAGTGACTTGCTTTCTTTGTGGAATTAGTGTCATGTGGATCTTGTATCTTCGCGGCACGATCCGAAAGTGCGGTGTCGTCACATCCTACAACGTCACTCAGCATTAATCGAATTCGATCTGGACAGGGAAGATGACGTCAAAGAAGTTTCTTGTTGTAATTCTGGCAAGAGGTTTTGGACAAGATTTCATAAGCATGTTTTGTAAAGTCCCAATTAGCACACCATAGCTTTTCTTTTAACATAGTTAACAACCATGCGGATTATGACACCGATACTGGTGGTGGTAACAGCAGCCGAGAAAATGTTGGACTTCCTGGTGGTGACACGACTTGGAAGTCTGCAGTGCCATGAGAGTTCTCGCTAGGCGCTGTATCGTAATTTGAGGCTGCGGTAGGGACAATAACAGTTGACATGGTGGAGATTGCGCGGAGTGAACGCTGAAGCGAAGATTCATGGGTGTCCCGACTTACAACCACATCAAACGATGGCCGTGTCGAATTGAGATTCGGCCTGGTGCGGGTGATAGTGGAAAAGTGGGTAACGTCATCAGCTAGATCGAGCGCAAGAATGGAACGTTGACCAAACGACATGCGCTGGGTCGGAAACGTAGCGTTCTAAGCATGTGCCGGGTAGATGCGTCCGGCAAAAACGAGCTGACCGCACACAGAGCCACGTGCAATGGGATCAGCAGGGCACCGACTAGAACTCAAGAAACGTAACGTGGCTGTGGGGATCATTGCAGCCAATTTACATCTCGGAATGTACCGTATATCATCTGTGCTCCGAGCTCAAAAATGGAGTTCAGCATGAGGTCGGCGTCGAATTTACTGTCGACTCTTGGCACATTGATAAAGAAGCGGTCGGCAAGAATGTCCAACTCGCTGAATCGGTATCTGCCTCTAAATACTTGAGTATCCTGCCCGGCGAGGTTTTAACGGGTTTAAATTTTTTTCGCTTTGATGACAAAGTTACCACGAAGCGCTTGAGTGAGTTGGCATAGTTGCTGTGAACAATCTGCTGCTGGTCGACGGGGGTTCCTATGTTACTTGAGCAGTGATGCGAGGTTTAGATTGGCAAGGTGCGCTGGCAGTGTAACGGGGTTATACGTACCTCTGTAGGAAAGGGTGGGAGTCACACATGGTGGTGTGACCGTACAAAGGTGTTAATTGCACAATTCGGTACAATTACACAATGGTGTGGCTCCACCGTAACATGGAGCCAATACGTGGCGGGACGGTCTGTGGTTATGCATATTAATTTGGTTTTACTATTCATTTACGAATACCTAGAGGTTTAGGTATAGGCGGTTCTGCCGCAAATAAAACAAAAAAACACAGTTTCACTTTTAAAAGGAAGAGTACATTTGCCTTCGATAAGGTTTGGGTACTCTTGGAGGTAACGGGTTGCCATCCGCTGAATTCGTACTGTTTATAGTATAGAACGTAAGGTCGGTGACCTCAGTATGCTTCTTCTAAGCAAAGAGCCACGACAGCCCCGCTGCGGTTAGTCTTAATGATCATCACATAGCGGGTACGAGACCGAGCGTATGGACGAGCTCGCTCAATAGAGGATGCGTGTTGACTCCAGTAATCACAAACATCAATGTCTTCAATGGCTTTTGCCCTGGGCCGTGAGATCTCGACACGCAGTGTAGACGATGTCTCAACGTTGGCGCGACGGATCTAGGAGATGCGCTGAAGCAAGGTACGAATCCTTGGCGTGCCCGATGATGTTTGACGTTTGGACATTTTGCTGCTGGCAGATACTCTATTTGGCGCGTGTCGTCGGCGTTCTGCGTATCCTCCTCGAGATCTCGCATAATATGTGGTATGTGCATGGAAGGGGCGCGCAGCTGCACGATCATATCGCGGTTTGAATATTGCAGATCTTTTAACACAGAGCCGGTGCTATTTTCCTGGTCCGTGCATAACGGCGAGGCTGGGCTGGAGTCCTTTGCCTCACCAGCGACTAAATTATAGAATTCAGACTCAGCAGAACCGCGTTTCAGTGAGGCTGCGAGATCTTTCGCGGTAGATGGATTGCCCATAGGCACATGAGGACATGAGTGTGTAACCAACCAACACACTCATCACACAATCATAGAATTGTGATATGACGGCTGGCTTCGGTATTCATAGAAACGAGGCTTGCGTAGGTGCTTGGAAAAGTAGGGCCTGGGTATTTCGAAAATATGATTTGGACGACTTGATTACGACGAGGCAAATTGAGAAGCGACAGCTTGGCCGAGTGATTAAGGCGATAGACTAAGCATTACCCGCGAGGGTTCAAATTTCACTGCTGTCGAAGCGACATTCTTAACGATTCCTCAAATACCATCAATTTGAGGTTATAGCCCTCAATGCTCCTTGGTTGCCTCCATGAGTATAGGCTCATAACGTATTTTATTTTCTACACCTGATTTTTTTTGTATCACATGCTCGTCATCTGATACGTTTCGGTTGATCATAAAAAAAGATGTCAATTTTTATCATCGCCAGTTTTGTTGTAAACAAAAATACGAGTGATAATTTGACAGCTGAACTTTAGGTGATCTCAGCAGAATACAGCTTGTCAAGGTATATAATGTCATAGATAGTCAAATTCGCAAAGTTGATATATGCAAGTATTTGTAGGCTAATCAAGTATCGGTGTCGTCTAGTGGTTAGGATCTGAGCTTAACACGGTCAAGAACGAGGGTTCGATCCCCTCCTCCAATAATTGTGCAACTACGCGAAATCAGCTATCTTTTTCAATTTATCACCAAGTGTATCTGCTTTATTCATTGTGCTTGCATTGTACTTGAGCTAGAGCCTCGTACTAGTGTTTGGACATTCGCATTTCCGCTTATATGCAGTTACGCACGCTGAAAAAGATAGAGATA